GTGCAACTAGGAATGACTGGTGAGACACTTGTGCACAGTTGGCAGAAGTGGCAACAACTTGCAAGGCTCACAGGCCACTGCTGCACACATGGGCAGCTGCTCGTGGTCAGCTGAAGCTTAACTCGACAGCAAATGAAAGCAGTGAGGGGGCTGTAGTGCTTTTTTATCAGCTTGGGGCAGACGGTGGCTTGCAAACTCCTTCCAGTTCGTGGTTGTCTTTGTGCTTCTGTGAGATCCAAAGGGATATTGCGATTTCAACCTGGGTCCCTGCAGTTCTCTCTATGCAGGGATTTACAGCAGGGGCCCAGAGCTAGTCTGCCTTCCCTGAGAGTCAGAGACTGTTCTTTCTGTTCTTTGTAAACATACTGTTCAAAACCATTCTTTCACCCTGTCCTGGGGAGCCACTTTGCACACCTTGTGCATTCATGCTTTGTCCCTACCATTGACAATCTGAAGTTGATTATGTTTCCTCATGAGCTTTAATAGTTTTCACAAGTAATATTATTTCATTTTCAAAGTGACAGGTTTGCATAGGATTCTTTTTCTGCCCTGAAAGGTACAAATGTCTCAGTTTTTTTCTAATTGAAACCTGTTACATGTGTACTTTTGCCCCACTGACAGACCTACTAGCTATTCTAGCGTTTCTTGAGAAATGTGATGATGCAGAGGGAAGGAAGCGGAATGAACCAACCTGAGCTGGGAATAACCTTTGTTTCTCTGAGACAGCTGCAAGGTAGTACCAAGTCCATTGGGAAGGTCCGTGAAAATACTCTGGCTGCTACACCAGAGATACCGTAGGAAGAGCATTAGGTCACGAAATACTGGTTACTCTTTGTGAAAGGATTGGAATAGTGGTGTCTCTGAAGGGGCTTAGTTCTCTGCTGGTGCTGTAGCGTCCTGGTAATCTCAGTCCAACAGCCCTTTTTTTTTTTTTTCTTGGCCATTTAGATCTGCAGCCAGCTTTTGATACCCGAGGTAGCAGCACCACTGTACGAGCTGTGCATTTAGATTTCAGTGGAGACCCTTACGCACTGTTGTGAGCCCAGCTTTCAGAGGTACATTCAGATTGGGTGCTGTTGCTTGTATTGCATGTCAGAACATGTTTTAGAAGCCGAACTGCCAAATCATGTCCCTGCTTTAGGAAGGGCTATCTTGCAGAAGTACTTATCAGATGCGTTTGTTCACCGTCAGCCTGTTAGACCCCTGCAGGAAGGCAGAGTCCTGTTGACATGCGGCTCTGTGACGCGAGAGCACGGTCATGTTGACATCTGTACACAAATGTAAGGTCTCTTCTGCTGATGCTGACGTGCTGCTTGTGCACGCTTGTGATTCATTACAGAACTGAAACATAACCATATATTTTCCCTTGGCAGAAGGCTGCAGGATTTTGTAATTTACAGGACCAGGACTCTGACCAGTAAATCCTGTTTTGAAACATCACAGACACTTGCACAAATGTCCTAAAAAGCTACAGTTTCCTCTGAACATCGAGTATTTGGAGATAAAGGACTTGTGCTATTCCTCTGATTATTCTTGCACTCCACAGCATGGTTTCTTCAGAGATGCATCTGCTCTGGTTGTGGATCCTTAAGCTTCTCACAGACAACACTGAACAAGGAGTACTGGGGGAGGACAGACCTGTTTAGCAGAAGGTGTGCAGTAACTGCATCTGGCTCATCTGGTTTCTTCATGTGCTGTGCTGCCAGTGCTATCTCCTTCACTTGTCCTCAGTGAATGTGGGGCAGAAATTGGGCATATTCTGCAGCTTGTGTCTGGTGATGGCAGGTCAGATCAAAGACTTCCAGAAGAGTGTGTAAGTGCTTCAGCTGGGCTTGGAAGAGGACTCAGCTGAGGGAATAGGATGAGGTGAGGCCGTTGCTGGAGGAAGTGATGAAAGTTTCTGGCACTTGGCGTGAGGCACAAGAACCAAGGGTTGCCACCTCTAGTCTCTGTTAACAGTATTTTCTGTTGCAAGAGCACTGATCTTGAGACCATTAGTATCAGAGTTGTTCCATTGTCTCAGAAAAGAAAGGGAGAGGGAAGAAATGGCGTAGGGTGAAGCTGGTGGCGACACATTTCGAAGGTGTTCAGTGTCTTTTGAGACTTGGGTGGCAGGGGCTGGCAGAAAATACTTTCCCTTACCCTTTCCATCTGTATGTGCTTCCTCACTGGAGCATGTCAGCTCATCCCCTGCTCTAGATGCTGCATTAGAGAGAAATGATTGCTTCTTCTCATGTTGCTTGGCTGGTCCTGATTTCTAAAACTGATGGAGTTGAGGTGGACAGTGGGAGGCAGCACAGCAGATTATGTCCATGTCAAGAAGACAGTGTTCCCTCTTGCAGTTATGGCTTGCATCACCCTTCTAAATTTTAAATTGGAGTGGTGCAGATTGGAAGATGTGAACCTCGAACAACATGATTGTTAGTACAAAACTTGACAAGATTTTTAGTCACTTGAAAACAATCCTCACTTATTTCTGTGAAAAATAACTGCTCGGCCTAGTCCTGTTGCCTCTCACTTGTGTGCCTGTGGGGAAAATGCTGGTTTAGGTTTCTTTGCCTAGCACGGGAGCGCTGCTGTTTGTAGTTAGGTCAGTTTTCCACAACCTGCAACTGTTAACTGTATCTACAGAGCTAAAAAATGCTGTGTCAGGAGCAGAGAAGACATGAGGCCTCTCTTATCTGGCCCATTCTATTTTGGGAAGGCTGGAGGCTGGTGCACAGAGTAGGAACGTGTGGGTTGGTTTTACAGCACAATAGTGGCTGATGGGCCTTGCTCCTTGCTGTGGCCTGGGTTTGCACATAGATTTATGCTCACCTCCCTGTTAGTAGCTGCAGACTTCTCAGACATTGCCCGGAAGTCTGCAGTCTCTTAGAAGCTCCCCTTTGGGCTCCAGATGTCCTGCTGACAGCAAGTTTCGCTCTTGCAGTGTCAGGCGTCGTTGTGATGACACAGTTTTGAAATCCGGTCAGGCTGTACCTTTGTCGTTTGCTTTCCAGAATACATCTCAGTTGTGTCTGGGATGCAGCGAGACTGGGTCACTGAACTGAAGGCACTGGAGCTTGAGTACTGTCACTCAGACCCCCAGCTGGGGGATCAAATTCTTCCTCTGAAAAATTACTGTGGTGCTGGTGACTCATTCCGCACAGTAATTAATGTTTGAGTCTTCTGTGTGGTTTAAAGGAATGTGGCGATGCACAGAGGCAGTACACGTAGCTTTCTTGTTTCGTGCCCAAACATGTCCAGAGACATATGATACTGGCTTCAGCGAGAAGCTTACATGGGACTTGTATCCCAAGTTGGCTTTGGGTTTGTCTCAGTGAAGTTCCTATCTCCATCTGGTGCTCTGTGCCTCTGCAAGGTTTCAGTTGCTGCAGAACTTTGTGTGGGCTTATTTAAAAAAAGTTGATTGTAGTGGCCATGGAGGACTGTGGGTGATCTTGAATGGGTTGCAAATCGCATCAGTTAGGTTGTAGTCTCCCAGGATAGTTCCTTTCTATGGCTTTGAGTTTCATATTTGCTGCCACTTCTTTTATGCTAGACAGTCTGTTTCTCCAGCGATTCAGTGGCTGCATGTGCCAAAGGGGAGGAGCTCTGAGTTCTTAACACAGTCTGAGGCTGTTTATGGAGGTCACATGAATTAATATGCCCTGTGGTTTTTAACACCTGCATCTATTATCTGCCACAGCGTAGTGGGGGATGTCAGGAGCTCAGCAGGCTCGATGGTATGACTGCTTCTACACTTGGTGACTGTTTCAGAGAACTGGGAGGGGAGTGATTTGTGGAAGTGTTGCTGTCACCTTTGCCTTTGGCATTCTAAGAAAAGTTGCATGGTCTGGTCCAAATACCTGGAAGGAGAGAAGGGACTTGGGCCTGTGGTGCTCTGCCTCTTCCCAGTCTGCGCTGCAGTGTGAGGTATGTCCCTCCTCACCTGATGCTGTTGTGTGTGGGCTGCTGCACAGCTCTGTCACCTCGCGTCTTTCAGAGCGTGGCAGGCTTCCAGGCCTGAGCTCAGTCACTCACGTTAAACTGGTACAGGCCTCTAACGCAGTTGCTTTTTAAATCAGTTAATCCCTTTAGCTTGCATTGGTAAATCACCGAGTTAAGATCAACTGATCAAATGCATGTTCAGTCAGATTAGGGGTGTTTACATTAGCAGTTTGCATCAGTTTCACTAAGTCTGTGCAGTCAAACCAGTAAGGCCTTTTCCTGTGCAGGTGGGGCTTTTTGGAAAAAGTGAATGGACTCGCTGTCAGGTTTCAGATTCTGTGGTGGCATTAGTGTTGCATAATAAAGAAGCTTTTCAGGATGGCTTCCAGGCTCCGGAAAAGGGAATCCTCAGAAGGTTGGTGGTGAATCTATTTCCTGAGTGTGGCGTAATGGCCATTTTCCATAGGTGCGATGCTGGCTTTCAATTTCTTGCTGTAAGTGAGGGGAGGGAAGGATTTGTCATCCTCACCTTTGGTACATCCTTGATCTTTGGCACAGCCTTTGGCTACTGATATTAATAGGGAAATTTGATGTTTTGCGGTCTTTGCTAAATAATTGTATCAAAATTGTCTTTTACAATTTCCTGTGTGCTCTGCAGTACATTCCACAAAATCCAGGGCAGCTGGCAGCAATGGGCTGTTTGTTACTGGAAGCTTTAACAAAGGCCACCGGTGGTGAAGCCTGGAATTTCCCTCTTACCCATTGGAGAGGTCAGGGCTGAAGTCCCCCCGTGGTGTTCGCAGTAATGAATACTTGTCCTGCTTCAACAAATATTTTGGCCGTCAGAAGACGTTTTTGTGCCTGGGTGTGTTAATCTTGAACTTTTTACCACAGTTCGTTTAAATAATTGTGCTTCAAGAGCATAAACATTGATAAAACGAAGTTAATTGTCCCTGTTAATAAATCGGGAAACAAAATGATGAAGCGTGCTTGTGGTGCAGCTTGTAATAGGTTTTGGGAGTTAATAGCCTCAGTAGTTGACCTCTTGCCTCTTTTGCATCTGTGTTTTCCCACAGGTACCTCCTTTCTGACTTTCGGTAGCAGAGAGAAACTAAAGACCTGGAAGAAAGACGCCTGCGGCTCCTTGCTCGGTAGTAACAATGCTACGGCGATGAGATTGTAGCAAGACCTTCCTGTGTGGCCTCCATGGGTCCCACTCAACTCAGCACACAGGATCATGGGAAGAGGGTGGCAAGTGTATTTGAGATGGAGGAGGAAGGGCTTTCGCTCTTCTCTGGCTCAGAGAACCCCCCTGAGCATGCAGGTATGGAAAAACTCTTAAGAAATCCAGGCAGGCTAAAGGCTCTTTCAGCTGCAAGCAGAATTGATACTTGGCAGGATTTTAGGGTTTGTTCCGCTGTGCTTGAGGCACTCTGAGAATGCTGAATGGTAGAATCAGTTACTGGTATTTGAAGATGACTGCGTTTATGCAGGTGATAAGTGTGTTGAATACCTTGCTTATTTGACTGTCTAGATGCCAGGTCCTTGACAGCAAAATTAATTTCTTTTTGTTAGCCTTATCAAAAGCTGCTGAACGGTAAAGCTTTACGACCGGTGACAAACCCACAAGGGTTAGTGATGCAAAGAAATAACAGGTTCTTGCAGATTCATATAGTGCCAAGACAGTAGAAGTTTCCTTTACATGTTTCCAAGGTTAATTGCGGTTAAAAAAGTTTCAGGAAAATAGAATTGAGATTTTGCAGTTATAATTGCTGCTGACACACACAATCCTACACTTTCAAACTGCTAAGAAGATGTCGTATAACATCTTTGGATGGGTAACAAGAAAAAAAGGAAAGCACGAGTGAGGCGTCCAGCACAGTATCAGCAACTTGAGGAAAACATGACAAATAAATATATTTGTTGAACAGTGAGGCAGCAGGCAGTGCCCGATATAAAAAGAAGAGGTGATCTGAGCATTGAACGAGGACTTATCAGAAGAGTAGAAACAAAGAGTAGTTGAAAGGTGAAGAGAGATTACCCAATAAAACTCCTTAAAACAGATTAAGGACAGTAGAAGAAAGCCATTGATAAATGCCTTATCGAACTGCAAGAGAAAAAACACAAAGTGGGAAAAAATTAATAGGGGAACTACCAAAGAAGGAGGACCCTAATGAGAGCTGAAGGTGCAGAGACGGCGTTCATGCTTGATACATCTCAGATTATTTCTGTTATTTTTGACTACAGAAAATTACAATAATAAGCTACATAACCAAAATGGTTAGTGTTCAGAGATGGAAAATGATTTGCATGGATCAAGAATAAGCCTATCTGTCTCAGTGAAACAGTCACGGGACTTGTAATCAGACATTTATGTAACATCTTAAAGACAGCTAAGAAGTCTACCGGATGGATTTGTCCATCTTGTGGCACTCACTGGATTACTCTGCTGTCCCTCAGAAGCGTATGGACATCATTTCAGGCCTCTGCAAAGTTATTATACCAGTTAATATATGTTGCAATGGCAGACTAAGTAATTTGAAATAACTGTAGGCATTGCATAATTTCCTCTTGATCATAGTTGGTGTGAAGAGAAATATAGTAGAACAGGAGAGGAGTATGAGAGACATAACCTTTCTGATGACATTTTCCTGCTGTCCAATCTGCAGTGAGAAGTGCCAGCCAAAATGAGTGACCTCCAGACCTCTGTAAAGTCAATGGGATTGAAAATCAACACTAAGATGCTTAAGACTCTGAAGACCAATATGTAGTGAAGAACACTAATAATAATTTCTGAGACTGACCAAAAACTGTTTGCTATTTCAGGAACTTGAGCGGAATAGTAAGCCTAACTGAGAGTAAAGATGGGAGTTTTAAAGCCATACGTATGAAAATGAGACATGTCGTTGTAACCCTGATGCTGATCAGGAAATGCAGCATCCTCGTTCAGCAAACCAATCCCTGGGAGTTAACTCCAGTGTAAAGGCTTTCCAGGCATACCTAAACATAATCTGGAGACTTGTCAAAACAGGCTGTTTGTAATATTTATGAACAGCTGCCACAGAAGAATCTA